TGCCCCAAACAATTTATTACTCAACAAACCACACAGTTATTGTTAAAAAAATACAGATGATAAACAATCAAATAAATAAAACTGTTATTTATATTTTTTAATTTCAACAAACCAATCAGATCAATATTTATTCAATATAAAAATATATTTATTTTATATTATATTGAATACTATCAGTCTTTAAAAAATATCCTGTACCTTTTGGAATATAAGTAATGTAGTATTTAAAGAAACAGTTTGGATAATTTATCTCAATTTTTTTGTTTTTTTTTAAATTTGAACTAATCTATGTTGTTTACATAAATTTATAGCTATTATGTATACTGGATAATGTATATTGACCCACTCTACATTACTCATAATAAATAAATTTGTTTTCATTAAATTTTTTGTAAACTTTTTCATATTATTAAATTTCAATTTTATATAAATTAAATTATAATATCCACAATTCATAAATTGTGGATATTTAAAACAATCAAAATGTTAGTTTAAACGTTATATGGTCAACAATAAAACATGTTGAATTTGTATAAACAACATACAATAAAAAAAGAAGCAAAAATATATTTAATAAAATAAATTTATAACTAATTTCAATTCTTGTGTTATAAAAAGAATTAAATAACGTTTAAGATATGATAAATGGTATTGTATTTAAAAAAATATAATATTTACAAAATAAAAGTATGTTATAACAATCTTATTCTTTATTATGAAAGGTTTCGATTAACTTGATAACAGTTATTGTTAATTTTAATGAAAGACTTACTTACAAACAAATTAGATTTGTTTTTGTTGTAGTTTGCTAATCAAATAATACAATCTTTCTTAATAGGCAAATTACCTTTTTAAATAATAAAATATCCAAAACATTAAATAAATATATCAATGACACTGTTTTAAACCATGTTTATTTAACAAAATCAACATTTTTGTTTAATTGTTTTAAAAGAATATAAAAAACGTTGCATCATCTTTACAATTATGACTGTTTAAAATACACTTAAAAACTTAATTAATTGTTCAATGACTTGTCATTAAATTGTATTGCATTTTTTTGATAAAATAAATTTCAAACAATTTAACCAAAATATTTATTTTGCCATTTGACTTTTTTTATAATCAATTTAATATTTTTTCTTGTTAAATAAAAAATTGTTTATATTAAATCAAGTTTGGGTTTAAATTTCAAAATAATCCTATTTTGAAATTTGTGTATTTTTTAGATTGCTTTAATATTTAAAAATCAAAATTTAAAACTTTGAGACAAAAATACCATTGTGTTGACACGTTAAGAAATAGAGACATAGATTGATTGACTTCACTGTTTTCTCAAATATTTTGGTTTTTTCGGCAAAACAAATTTATGGTTAAGAGATTATTGAAAATCGTGTTTTTGTTGCTATAATTGGGGTGCGGGCCGGAAGTCGAGTAATTATATGTAAAGTGACTTCCCAAGGTGTGCAAGTTAAGGTATAGTTCATTTATATTTTTTTATTAAAAAATAGAATCATTAATTTTTTGAAATTTTGAAAAAAAAAGATTATTTTTAGTTTAATTATTAATTATAATTTTGAAGTTATTACTAAACTATACTTTAACTTGCACACCTTGTGACGTTGCAATTTTTAACTTTCACACTTCGAATACAATAAATTAAGCAACAATTTCAGGAAAGCGACCCAATGGAAATTATCGAAGGACCAGTTCTAAACAACAGTAAACATCGATTTGAGATAACGAGCTGCACCTAGTAAACAGACTATTTGTTATTGTTTGCTATAAAATGGCACAGAGAAAAACATAATGTTTATCATACTTCTTTTGTCACTTTGAATTACGCTGACACAAGAGACATCGACATTTATTCTTGTCTTGAAACAAACCAATTTTTACATTTAACACAATGACTAACCATTACCCAATTTTTATAATTTAATTTGCCTTATGTTGTTTATCGATTCAGACACCAAAGGGTTGTGTGTTTTTTGAAACAATTTTAAAACGAATGACATTTTAAAATAAAATGTTCTTCAACTAAAATTTAGTCTTGCACGCCCTTTCCCTGTAAAAAAGACTAATAATTTTAACTTGCACACCTTGTGGAAGTCATTTTACATAAATTTTTGATTATTTTTAAAAGTTTTAAATAATATAAATATAATAAATTTTATTATAAAAATAAAAGTTAGCTTTTTCCATTAGTTTAACACGTCTATTATTCATATAGTTCGAAATTTTCAAAAACATGACCATATTTTTTTTGGTTGACACCTCATAAAACTTTTTTATTGCCGAAAGGGTTAAACCCTCTCTGTGTTGAAAAGCCTTTTTTTTTACATAAATAAATAGTAATACATCGAAAAATTACATCCTAATCGCAGAATACTGAAATAATATCAACCTTATTTTACCTTGATCGTCGGGAAGTATTTTGGTTTATATTTCGTGAATAATGTTAAAATAAACGGGAATAAATTATTGTCTATTGGGATAGATATGTCGATAAATCAGCTACAAAATCGAGCATCATTTTATAAATAAAAAAATTGAAACATAGGGAAGAAAATTATATGGCCAAACATTTATTAAATGTAAACCCATATTTTTTTTCAAAAAACAAAAATGAAAATTTAAACTAAAACCTGATAAGATAAAATACAATAAAATTAAAATGGGTTCCTTTTTGAA